CGGTCGGTGCTGCGAGGGCACCGAGTTTTCCAACAGGAGCCCAAGGAAAAGCGTGGGGATGATGCAGGAATCGCAGCCCCGCTCCGTGGGAACACGGCAGATGGGAGCAGAGGGGCGAGTGCTGCTCACCAAGCACTGCTTGGCTGCTCCGTAGGGCCATGGCAGCATCCAGCCGTGCGTCTGCTGTGCAGCGCCTGCTCCGCTGGCTCCCGTTTGGTTGCATTCGGCTGAGGGCGCCCAGAGCTGCTGTGGGAGGGATGCACCAAAGCTGGACGAGGAGAGGGAACTCCCAGATGACAGCGTGACTCTCAGATTCTTACAACCGAGTCACACGGCAGGAGAGCACAGAGCATTCGCCACCAGCGAACGAAAGCACAGCCCCAGAAGCAGAAAATTACCAGCAAAAAGACAATTGGAAGAGGTAAAAATCGAAGTTTGCCTCTGTTCCAGCAGACCTGAGCCCTGCAGGCTTCTGGAAAGCGTTGAGGGCAAGGAGGCGTTACCAGCAATCACAAAGTTACTCTGCTTTCCGGCCCCAACCCAACACCACTGCTGTTCCTTTGCTGCCTGGGTGCCGAGCCCGGTTAAAACAACAACAACTAATTTGCAACACAACTGCTGCCAGCTCTATTTTTAGTGGAGGCAGCCCGCACCTCCCCTCCCTGGCTATTCTGAGATCAATACAAGCCCTCAATGGAGCAGGGACACCAGGAGGGAAAACCTTGAGCTAAACCAAAGCATTGCAAGCGATTGCTGCGCCTGTGTTGTACCAAGCAGGTGCGGGGTTACAGGAGAGCAAACGGAGCCACGCAGCGCACGGCCCAGGGTTCCCTCTGTGCGCTGTGGGCTTCTAAAGCCAAATTTGATTTTGTGCTTGAGCCAAAATGACCAAAGTCTTCTAAAATATGGAAACAAGGGAGAACAAAGCTCCTGTTGGGGATGGAAGCACCCAGCTGAGCAAAGCACCTCCAGAAGCGCCGGCTGGGAGATGCTTTCTAAGCACGGCAGCAAACCGAGGCCCCTCCAAGCCCTCCTGCTGTCCCTCTGAGCACAGCCAGTGCCCCCAGTGCTGCAGATCTCTGCCACGCGTGGGGATGGAGCCAAACGATGCCCATCCCAATGCAAATCAAGGTTTCCTCCATGATGGCTTTGAGACGAAAGCAGCAACCTGCCTGCTGCCGACCCTCTGCAAAGCAGGATCCAACACACAGCAACGTCCAAACCGAGCCCGCAGCCAGGTAACACACGGTCAAATCCTTTGGGATGCCAGATTCCACGTTCTTCTATAGCAGCAGCAGCTCAGTGCCTCTCTTCTTGCATCTCATTCCTCTCAGCTCACAGCCAGGTTACCCCAAGCAGGCGAGAGGGGCTCGCACAGAACTGAGAACGGCTTCCACGTGGCACAGTCACTCGTCACAACAGAGCTCACAACAGTCACTCAGAGCCACAGCGTTAATTACCAGCAAACATTCTCCTGTGGGGACATTCACTCTCAGGAAGCACAAATCCCATCTCAGGGCAACAGCAGGGAAAACATCCAAGCGTAAGGAAAGCAGAAAGCAAAGATGAACAGATCCGTTTGCACCGTGCGGTGGGATAAAGGAATAGGGCTGCATTTGCCCACAGAGCTAAAGGCTGCTTGCTCTGCTCTGCGAACAAGTTTAGGCCGTGCTTCCAAGCCTGGGATCAGCAATATGCACCCGTGAGCTGACAGATGGGCAAGCTGGCGTGCAGCAATTCACCTGGTGGGGCCCTTCAGCCCCACCACAACAGCCGGCTGCACTCCTGCTGCCTCAGCATCACAGCACAAACCCAGCAGCCTCCTCCCGCTCAGCAGCGCCCAGCTGCAGCTCCAGGGCATCGCAGCTCAGTTTGCATCACCTCCAGTTCCCAAAGCCCCGTGAGGCTGCGATCTCTCCCTCGCAAAGCTCTACAGGCTCACCTTCCTTCTCACTGCTCTGCCAATTACCTCTGCGATGGCTCTGTGTGCCCACCAGGCACCGTAACCCTTCCCCTACAGCCCGATTAAAGCCCAGCCTGCCAGCACACGACGCCCAAAGCAAAGCTCTCACAAACCCTGGGAACTCTGCACAGCTCCCAGCCGCCAGCATTTATTGGCAGCGGCGGCCCCTATTAAAACAAGGCCAACTCCCACAGCATGTGCCACTGAAACAGCTCTCCCCATTATCCACACTGGCAGCACACGTTGCAGGATAACTCAGCGACTGCGGTGCAGCTCGGTTCAGGCCATAAAATCATTAAGGATGCAACAGAGATTTAAGTTCATCAAACCCAGCCATGCCGAGCGGGGCTGGGCTGTGAGGTGACAGCAAGATGTCTGACACAATCACAGAACGGCCAGGGTTGGAAGGGACCTCAAGGATGATGAATTTCCAACCCCCACCACAGGCAGGGCCACCAAACTCCACATTTCACAGCAGCCCAGGCTGCCCAGGGCCCCATCCAACCCGGCCTTGAACACCTCCAGGGATGGACGGGGCATCACAGCCTCTCTGGGCAGCTGTTCCAGCACCTCACTGCTCTCTCTGTAAAGACCTCTCACCCCAAACTCAATCTATTCACACAAAGCACCGCCTCCTGCAGGCCCAACACATCCAGAGTCAGTTTTGAAGGGAACCTCTGTGCCGAAAGGAACTACACGAGGCTCCCTGGGTGCTGCACCTGGAGCAGAGAGAAGAAACAGACCATCAGCAGCGTGCAGAGCACACACAGCTGTAACGCTGAGCGACTCCTCCAGCTCTGTTTGCCCTGCAGGAACCACGCCGGGCCGCAGCTGCCCCAGCTCTATTTGCAAACCAGTCCCACGAGCGGAGCATCTCCCACATTGCAGCCTTTAAACTTTAACTCCATAGAGCCGAACGCGGCCATCGCGACCCCGTTTGGCCGCTTGTAACTCACAGAACGGCCAGGGTTGGAAGGGACCCCACGGATGATGAATCTCCAACCCCCTGCCACACGCAGAGCCACAAACCTCCACATTTCATACCAGCCCAGGCTGCCCAGGGCCCCATTCAACCCGACCTGGAACACCTCCAGGGATGGACGGGGCATAACTCCCACTTGCTGAACGCAATATTTAACAAAGAAAAGCAAAGCGAGGAGGCAGGATTTCAAACCACGACAGCAGCAGCTTCCCGCAGCGCGCAGCTCAACGGCTTTAACGGCACGGCACCCAAACGCGGCCTTTCTTCAGCAAAGCGGCTGCGTGGCAACCGAACAACGCGGCCACCCCCGGGCTCACACACGGCAGATCCGCTCCACTTCTGTCCTAGGGATGAGGCGGGCCCGGCAGCGGCGAGGCCGGGCGGCGGGCATCGAGCAGGAGCCGCGCTGCAGAACCGGGCCGCGCTGCAGGAGCCGGGCCGAGCTGCAGGAGCTCCGCCCCGCGGCACCGCCCCGGCCGTTAGGGACCCTCAGGCCCCGCCGCATCCCTCGGCCCCAGGCCCAGCCGCGGCCTACCGAGCCTCACCGCCGCCCGCCCAGAGCAGGCCGCGCTAGGCCGCAACCGGCCCGGAGCCCGTCCTCGGAGTCCCCCGATGGCCCGGAAAGGCTGAGAGGAGCCTCCCCGAGCGCCCCGGCCGTCCGCGGCCCCCCCTCACCTGCACATGATCCGCCATTTTGCTCCATTCATGCTCCGCTCCCTCCGCCTCCGCCGGGCCCGGCACGCGCCCGCCTCCGCCCCCCCCACCCCTTCCTCAGCCACCAGCGCCGCCGCCTCAATGCGCGTGCGCGTCGCGCCCTCCCGCCTTTCGGCGCCTGCGCCGTTCCCGCCCACACCTTTGACCACGCCCACCCCGTCTAACCACGCCCACTTCACTTGACCACGCCCAACTCTCGTTACCACTGCCGCCGTTGACCACGCCCACCCCCTCTTACCGCGCCCACTCCATTGACCTCGCCCAACCACTTGAACGCTGCCGCCCCTTGACCACGCCCACTCGCCAAAGCCACGCCCACCCGCCTCAGCCACCCCCAGCGGAGCGCGACGGGAACAGCGCGGCGCCCGCTGCGGCCGAGTGACGTCACGACGCCGGCGGCGCCGCGGAGGGAGGGGCGCGCTTTGTTGACATCGCTCTTAAAGGGGCCGCGCTCCCTTTTCGTCCCCGCGTGCTGCTCCCGTGCTCGCCGTGCCCCCGCCGCTCCCGCCGCCCCGCCGCCCCCAAATTCCTCCGCAAAGCACGGGGCGCGGTTTTGCTGGGTGTCTCCAGGCCCCGTTCTCTCCCCCCCCCGCGGAAGTTCTGTGCATGGGATGCTGCCCCCGCGTGGCCCGAGGGTGAAATCGCAAGGGCTGAGGAGCGCCCGGAGCTGCTGTGCAGCGCGCCTTGGGGCGCAGCTCTGCGGGACCGGGGGATGCATTCCCTGCATGCGCTGAAGGGCTGCAGTGCTCCGTGTGCACCAATGGACGCGTTTCCTGCACGCATCGGGCGATCCTCTGCATGCAGCAAGGGATGCAGTGCTTTTCATGCACCCAGAATGTATTCCCTGCAAGCACCAGAGAATCCCATGCATGCGCTGAGCGCTGAGGCGCAATGCGTGCACTAATGTGCATGCTTCCTACGTGCACTAACCAATGAGGTGCTTTGCCTGCACTGAAGAATGCATCCCCTGCATGCAGCAAGGTCTGTAATGCTCTTCGTGCACCAGCAGATGCTACGCTTTGCATGCACCAAGGGATGCATTCTCGGCTCGCTGCACCTCCTGCACACCCAGATGGCTTCATTCCCTGCATGTGCTGACAGGCACCATGCATAGGCTGCATTTCCCACATGCACCGTGAGCAGCAATCCTACAGACCCCCTGCCAACCCATGCCCACCTCCACCCCACGCCATGCACCAGGGCAGCCTGCAGCGCAGGATGAGCAGCAGCATCACGCTGCAGACGAACCACGGGCTCCCACCCCCCCAAACCCCAGCGCACCCCCCCGTTTTTCAGGTCCCCATTCCCACCCCAGCAGCTTCTCAGGGCCCCGCGTGCAGCTGCGCACCCGGCTGCCCTTTATGGTAACGGTGCAGAGGCAGGAAGCTGAGCATGGGGAGGAAACAGCAGCACCCAACCACACATCACGTGGCATCGCTGCAGACGGGGCGCTGGGGAACAGCGAGTGACAGAGGGGCAGCACAGACGGATGCTCTGGGCTGCAGGATGGAGGAGGCGGTGGTGAAGCAGGGCGTGCTGCACCTGCAGCTGCAGCAGACCTTCGGCAAGGTGAGGGTGCAGCATTGGGGGGGGGCTTCCTGCTGGGGTTCAGGGGGGCTGTAAGCAATGGCAGCGGGATGTGCGGCACCCCGAGCATCCTTGAGCTGGAGGATTCGGTGCTGGGATGCGGCGTGAAGAGATGCAGTGCAAGCAGAGCACCTGTGCTGCTCTCGGGATGGGGTGAGGCGCAAAGCGATGCAGCCCCCATGCGCCGTTGCTTCAGAGGGAGCTGCGGTTCGGCGGCGGTGGCTGCTGCTCTTGTGCAAGGAGGAAGGAGTCATTCACCACGCTGGGTGGGGAGGATGAGCAGCCAGCAGGATGTGGGAGCCGCAGAGCAAATGGGGTGGGTTTGGAGCTTGGCTTTAACAAAAGGTGCAGCAATTCGGGCTGCTGGGCCCCACAGGTTCCCCTTGGAGCCCTGCAGGAGGTGAGTTTGGGTGCAAAGCTTCCTCTGGGGCTGCACACCTCCCATGCAAAATGCAACGAACTTCCGTGCCTGCTGAGAGGGCGTGAGTCTGGGGTTGCTCTGAAGGTGGTGGTTTTAGGAACAGGGGAGTAAATGGGGAGCTGGAAGCCCTTTGGGGGGCATGGATCTTGGGGCGATGCCATGGGTAGGAGGGTGGGGGGATGCAATGAGAATAGGGGTGCAGAGGGCAGGGGAAAGGCATGGATAAGTGGGTGCCGAGAGTAAGGGGATGCCATGGGTGGGGGGATGCAATGAGAAGAGGGACGCAATGGGCAGGGGGTGCCATGGATAAGGGGCTTCCATGGTCAGGGAGATGCCATAGGTTAGGGGGTGCCATGGGTAAGGGGATGTCATGGGTAAGGGGTTTCCATGGTAAGGGGTTTCCAGGGTAAGGGGTTTCCATGGTAAGGGGTTTCCAGGTAAGGGGTTTCCAGGGTAAGGGGTTTCCATGGTAAGGGGTTTCCATGGTAAGGGGTTTCCAGGGTAAGGGGTTTCCATGGTAAGGGGTTTCCAGGGTAAGGGGTTTCCATGGTAAGGGGTTTCCAGGGTAAGGGGTTTCCAGGGTAAGGGGTTTCCATGGGTAAGGGGTTTCCATGGTAAGGGGTTTCCAGGGTAAGGGGTTTCCATGGGTAAGGGGTTTCCATGGTAAGGGGTTTCCATGATAAGGGGTTTCCGTGGATAAGGGGTTTCCATGGGTAGGGGGATGTCATGAACAAGAGGTTTCCATGGTAAGGGGTTTCCATGGGCATGGAGATGGTTTCCCCACGTCCCCCCCAGGCTGGGTGATGCTGAGCAGCCTTCAGTTCCCCTTTGCAGCACAGGGACCCCGTCTCCCTTATGCTGCGCTTGGGCTTGGAGATGCTTTCCCCACCCTGCCCAGACCCCCAGGGCCCACGCGGGCATTTTGGGGACGAGCCGCCCTGATCACGGAGCGTTTTGCACCAATGGCCGATTGAAATTCCCTGGAAGGGCGAAAGCAGCGCTGCTGACCCTGCCTCCTTTCTCTGCTCCGCATCAGAAATGGAAGAAGTATTGGGGCGTTCTGTACCGCGAAACCCCCCGCTCCACCGCCCGCCTGGAGCTCTTCGAAAGCGCCCACAAACCGCGCAAAGGCGAAAGCAGCCGGCGCCTGGTGAAGCTGAGCGACTGCGTGCACGTGGCCGAGGCGGGCGGCGAGGCGGGCTGCCCCAAAGCCACGGCCCCGTTCCTGCTGGAGACCACCGAGAAGCGCTACCTGATGGCGGCCGAGGGCGGCGAGGCGGAGGGGTGGGTGAGGAGGCTGTGCCAGCTGGCGTTCCCGGTGAGAGCTGGGGGATGTGGGCATGGGTGGGTGGGGGGATCGGGGTATTGGGGGCGACGGGTCCTTCTGGGGGGTGGACGGGTGGGATGAACTTGGCGTGGGGATGCTGGGTCCATGTGGGGGGTGGATGGATCCATTTGGGGGATGGATGGGTGGGATGACCTTGGTGTGGGGATGCTGGGTCCATGTGGGGTATGGATGGATCCGTTTGGGGGATGGTTGGGTCCATTTGGGGGATGGATGGGTGGGATGACCTTGGTGTGGGGATGCTGGGTCCATGTGGGGGATGGATGGATCCATTTGGGGGATGGTTGGGTCCATTTGGGGGATGGATGGGTGGGATGACCTTGGCATGAGGGATGTTGGGTCCATTTGGGGGATGGATGGGTGGGATGACCTTGGTGTGGGGATGCTGGGTCCATGTGGGGTATGGATGGATCCGTTTGGGGGATGGTTGGGTCCATTTGGGGGATGGATGGGTGGGATGACCTTGGCATGAGGGATGCTGGGTCTATTTGGGGCATGGATGGATCTATTTGGGGTATGGATGGGTGGGATAACCTTGGCATGGGGATGCTGGGTCCATTTGGGGGATGGATGAATCCGTTTGGGGTATGGTTGGGTCCATTTGGGGTATGGATGGGTGGGATGACCTTGGCATGAGGGATGTTGGGTCCATTTGGGGGATGGTTGGGTCAATTTGGGGTATGGATGGGTGGGACAACCTTGGCATGGGGATGCTGGGTCCATTTGGGGGATGGATGGATCTATTTGGGGTATGGATGGATCCGTTTGGGGTATGGATGGGTGGGATAAGTTTGGCATGGAGGATGCTGGTTCCATTTGGGGAATGGATCCGTGCAGGGTGTGGATGGTGTAACTGGGCTGTGGGGTGGGCTGGATCAAATTGGGATAGGGATGGATGGGATAACAGGGCTGTGAGGTCTGCTGGGTCCCATTGGGGTATAGATGGGTGGGATGACAGCAGTGTGGGAGCCATGGCTCAGCCCTGACTCTTCCCTTGCAGAGGAGCCAGGAGGAAGAGGCAGTGGGGAAGGACAGAGAGCTGAGCTCCGACAGCGAATTCTCCATGGCTGAAAATTCCCTGTACAGCTCCCACAAAGGCGAGTGTCTGGGCGTGGGGAGGAGGCCGTGTCTGTGGGTGAGCGGCGTCCTGCAGGCAGCACGACTTGCAGAAGTGGCCTTTGGCTGCTTTTCCTGCGCTGCGGTTACGCTGGGCTGGGTTTCGTTGCGGCTTTCGCCTTTATCAGCCGGACTCCGCTTCCCCTCCGGGGCTGTGAGCTGCAGCACGGTGCAAACGTCCCCTCCTCCTCCCGTCCCCAGGCGTGGAGCACGACTTCGAGGTGACGCTGAGGGCCACCGAGTCGTCGGAGCGCTGCCGCCTGCGGGGCCGCTTTGTGCTGCGGGCAGGCGAGGAAGCCTTGGAGCTGCGGGACGTGAAGAGCAGGGATGTCCTTTACAGCTGGCCCTACCGCTTCCTGCGGCGCTTCGGGAGGGACAAGGTTTGGGGATGCTCAAAGGGTGGGATGGTGAGGGAGGAGGACTGGGAATCGTGGAACTGTAAAATGATTGGGCTTGGGAAAGACCCCCAGGGTCATCAAGTCTAACTGTCGTCCCGTCCCCACCGCGCTCTTGGAGTCGTTGAGGTTGGAAAGGACCTCTAAGTTCATCAAGCCAAGTGTTGACCCATCTCCACCGTGCCCATAGGGTCAATAAGGTTGGAAAGCACCTCTAAGGTCATCAAGCCAAGTGTTGACCCATCTCCACCGTGCCCATAGGGTCAATAAGGTTGGAAAGCACCTCTAAGGTCATCAAGCCAAGTGTTGACCCATCCCCATTGTGCCCATAGGGTCAATAAGGTTGGAAAGCACCTCTAAGGTCATCAAGCTAAATGTTGACCCATCCCCACTGTGCCCATAAGGGTCATTAAGGTTGGAAAGGTCCTCTAAGGTCATCCAGCCAACTGTTGACCCATCCCCATTGTGCCCATAGGGTCAATAAGGTTGGAAAGGACCTCTAAGGTCATCAAGCCAAATGTTGACCCATCCCCACCATGCCCATAAGGTCATTAGGGTTGAAAAAGACCCCTAGGATCATCACATCCAACTGCTGACCCATCACCGCCGTCCCCACACAATCACTGAGGTTGCAAAAGACCCCTGAGATCACCGAGTCCAAGCAGCCCATCGCCACCATCCCCACCCTCCACGTCCCCAGGCTCCACCCCTCCCTTCCCAGGAGAGATGATGCAGTTCCCCTCCTCCAGGTGACTTTCTCCTTTGAGGCCGGCCGGCGTTGCGCCTCCGGCGAAGGGAACTTCGAGTTTGAGACCAGACAAGGCAACGAGATCTTCCAGGTGATCGAATCGGCCATCGCCGTGCAACGGGAACGGGGCGGCCCTGGGGACGAGGGCACACGGCCTCGCCAACCCACCCAGCTCCCCGACAGGGCTCAGGAGCACGAGGAGCACCGCGCGAAGAGCGTCTACACCGAACCCCGCGGCCCTCTGATCCACACCGCCCCGTCGGCCGGGCCCAAAGCTCCGGAGAAAGGCTTGAGGAAGGATGCTGTGGGTGAATTGGAGTACGCCGTTCCCTTCGATACCATCGCCAAGTCGCTGATGGTTGGAAAATTCGGGAGCATCCTGCAGGGCCCCGCCGATGCTCCGGATCCGCTGTATGACAGCATACAAGAGGCCAGCAGCCATCCGCCGTTGCCTCGTCCCCGCGCCAAACCGGAGCACATCTACGATGAGCCTGAGGGTGCGTGCGCCCACACTGTCTACGATGAGCCCCAGGAGGTGAAGGGCGAAGCGTGGAGGCTGCAGGCTGCCCCCGAGGAGCCTTCGGGGCACAAATATCCCTACAACCCACAGCGGGACGACTACGCCATGCCCAAGAGAGCCGTCCCGCTGCGGCAGGGCAAGGAGTGGCTCGGGGACACCGAGTACGACAACGTGGTCTTTCAGTTGGCCAAGAAGAGGAACAAGCAGTGAGAGAGCGCGGGGTGCTCGGCCCCATCGCCAGCGGTGCACATCTGGACAGCTGCGGCCGCTGGAGGGCACTGCGCGCCCGCGCTGTGGGGTCGGCACCGCCGGACTCGGAGCGGGGCACGGTGCGCTCCAGAGCCCGGCTGAGCGTGGACCCAAAGAGTGCGTGCCCCACAGCATAGGGGCGGAGTAAGGAAGCACGGAGCCAGGGGTGCGCGTACCTCAAAGAGCTGGGGGGGTGGTGAACGTCCCAGGGGTGCACAGCCTGCACCGTAAGGGCTGGATGCCGATGGACATCCTAGGGAGGCGCATCCCTCACTCTAAGAGCCGGGTAGCGGTGAACATTGCAGGGATGCACATCCCACACCGTGAGGGCTGGATGCTGAGGCACATCCCAGGGGTGCACATCCCTCACTCTAAGAGCTGGGTGCTGTTGGACATCCCAGGGATGCACAGCCTGCACCATAAAGTGTGGATGCTGATGGACATCCCAGGGATGCACATCCCACACCATAAGGGCTGGACGCTGATGGACATCCCAGGGATGCACATCCCACACCATAAGGGCTGGATGCCTGACGCACATCCCTCCCTCTAAGAGCTGGGTGCTGTTGAACGTCCCAAGGCTGCACATCCTGCACCATAAGGACCAGCTGGCAGAGCACGGCCTCAAGCACTCGCACCCCGCGCCGCAGAGGCCGCGATGCACAGCCCTGGCGCTGCACGTTGCACGTTGCACGGCACAAGGGCCGGCTTGCAGGCTGTGCAGGCTGCAGGGATGCACCTTGCATGGCACAAGGGCCGGCTTGCAGGCTGTGCAGGCTGCAGGGATGCACGTTGCACAGCATCCAAGTCGATCCCCAAGCAGAGCCGCCGCGTCCCGGCGCTGGGGAACGTTCCCCGTCACCCCACAGCTCTTCCACCCAAGGCAAAGCGAAAGCCATGAATTATTTATGCTCTCTCTCAATCAAATAAATGGTTAGGTGCTTGAGTTAATTTCCTGAAGCCTGAAAATCCAAAGTGCAGACTTTTAATAAGGCAAATTAAGTGCTTTATATATTACACTGATTAAAGCCGCGTATCAATCCATCTATCACACGTTGAATGGAAGGGGCTGGGAACAGCCAGGGCGCAGGGATGCTCCGGCACAGAAAATCCTACGAGTTTAAAACAGGAAGAAACGATCTCTAACGTGTGACCAAATTAATTAGAGCTCATTATGGCGGTTATTTATTATTAATGGGTGTTAACACAGTCCTCTCCTCCCCGCCGCAATCCCATCGCGTCGCCTCCGGCCGTGATTTTTCTTCGTTAACTGAAGGAGTGGTGACAACTTTGGGCTCCGATGTCCCACGGGTGTGACGGGATTGGCTCCGTGCTAACGAGGGAGCTGCTAATCACTTTGCGAGGGGGTCGAGCATGGGGTGGTCGGATTCCCTCCTCAACGGGTTCCCCTTTTTTGGGGTGGACGAAGAGATGTGAGCTGGGATGGAAAGGCCGGAAAAATGGGATGCAAAGGCTGGAAAACCCCTTTGCAGTGCTCAGCATGGGAGCGTGTTGAGCGTGAGATGAGAAAACACAAATTGATGGCGGAGAGAGGGGGGAAGAGATTAGAGCACAGAGCCCCAGACAAATGGAGAGCTGTGATCTGATTAGCTGTCGTTATTGCGTTATGCTGATTATAAATCATTTAGGAGCGCTGCTAATCGCAGCAGAGGTTTGGTCAGAGATTTAAGGGTTGCTGCCTCCAGCAAAGCCCCAATGAGGGCAAACTCAACCCCGAGTCCAAAAAGTCAAACCCAGTTAACCAAAGCCAAATCCGAGTCCAAACCCAAATATAAATGCAGGCCCAAATCCAGAGCCAAGCCCAGACCCAAATAACTCCAGCCCGTATCCAAACCTAAACTCAGATCCAAATAACACAGAGCCACATCCAAAGCCAAATTCAAATAAATCACGACTCAACTTCAAACCCGAAGCCAAACCTAAATCCAAAGCCAAACTCAAACCCAAACCCAAATCCAGAGCTAAGTCACTCACATCAAAACTCAAACCCAAATAACAAATAACACAAACCCAAAATCAAATCCAAACCCAAATAACCCAAATCCAAACCCTAATAAATCAAAACTCGAATCCCAACTCAAATCCAAACCCGAAGACGAACCTAAACCCAAATCCAGACTCAAATAACTGAAATCGAAACTCAAACCCAAAGAACACAAATCAGGACTCGGTGCCAAAGCCAAACACAGATCCAAATCCAAACAGCTCAAATCAAAACTCAAACCCAACCCCCAACCCAACCCCCAACCCAACCCCCAACCCAACTAAAGCCCCAACCCAACCAACTGAGATACAAATCCCAACCCAACCTCAACCCAACCCAACCCCAACCCAACCCAAATCCAACCCCATTCCAACCCCAACCCAACTCCAAACCAAACCCAACCCCAACCCCAACTCAACTCAACTCAACCCCATCCCAATTCCAACCCAGCCCCAACTCCAACTCAATTCAACCCAACCCCATCCCAACCCCCTTCCAACCCCAACCCAACCCCATCCCAACCCCAACTCCAACCCAACCCCAACTCAACTCAACCCAACCCCATCCCATCCCCATTCCAACCCCAACCCAACCCCAACCCAACTCCATCCCAACCCAACCTCAACCCCCTTCCAACCCCAACCCAACCCCATCCCAACCCCAACTCCAACCCAACCCCAACTCAACTCAACCCAACCCCATCCCAACCCCATTCCAACCCCAACCCAACTCCAACCCAACTCCATCCCAACCCAACCTCAACCCCCTTCCAACCCCAACCCAACCCCATCCCAACCCCAACTCCAACCCAACCCCAACTCAACTCAACCCAACCCCATCCCAACCCCATTCCAACCCCAACCCAACTCCATCCCAACCCAACCTCAACCCCATTCCAACTCCAACCCAACCCCAACCCAACTCTGAACCAACCTGAAGCCCAACTGAACCAACACCCCAACCCAACCCAACCCAACCCACCCCCACGCTCCCCCAGCTCTCCCCCTGACCATCTCCCCACATTAGGGCTGCTCTCTCTCTGCAGCACTGCCCGAATCCCAGGCGCCACAGTGCAGCTCCAAACTGCATTAGCGTCGTGCCGTGGAGTCCCTAATACAATTATGGGGCAGCATTAGAGGTGCTAATTGACAAACCCCTAATCAGTGCTGGGATTTATGGCAACCAGCCCCTGGGTAGGGCGGGGCAGAGCCCTTCATTCATAAAAATTGCTTAATGGAGGGGTCTGGGTTCTGTCCGCTGTCTCGTGCGCACACCCAAGAGATGGGAAATAGGAAAAGGGATGGCAAGGTGTGGGGGGGAAGGAGTGAGGGGGGGCAGGTGGGTTTTGCAGACTGTTTTGGGGGGGTTTAAGCACTTTTTGGTGGCTTGAGACATCGCTGGAGGGGTTGCATGGAGAAAAGGTCTGGAAAAACGAGGTTGTTCTCACTTGCCCACCCAGCATGGGGGATGCGGGCCGCTTTCCTGCCCTCGGCTGCAGCGCAATTAATTGGCAATTACCAGCAGGCCATAAAGCACGGCCCTTCTTGGGGAGGAAGCCGTAAAACCGCGCGTCCTCGGCCGCATTTCCTTCACTCCTCATCGATCCCACGGCCTCGGGGCGCTGCACCCCGCCGACCCTCATCGATCCCGTGGGATTTCGGTGGGATGTGGGCAAACAACGAGAGCGCGGCCCTGTGCACTCCGTGAGCAGCAGGGCTGGATCCCAGAGCCTCGTCCTCTGCCTGTGCAGGAACAGCGCTGTGCAGGGCAGGGCAGGGCAGGCACCGTGCTGTGCAGGTGCAACGCTTTATGGGTGCAATGCTGCTCAGATGCAATGCTGTGCTGCTGCAGTGCTGTGCAGGCTTTGTGTTGTTCAGATGCAACGCTGTGCAGCTGCAATGCTGTTCAGGTGCAATGGTGTGCAGGTGCAATGCTGTGCAGGCTTTGTGTTGTTCAGATGCAACGCTGTGCAGCTGCAACACTGTTCAGGTGCAATGGTGTGCAGGTGCAATGCTGTGCAGGCTTTGTGTTGTTCAGATGCAACGCTGTGCAGCTGCAACGCTGTTCAGGTGCAATGCTGTGCAGGTGCAATGCTGCTCAGATGCAATGCTGCTCAGACGTAAAGCTGTTCAGATGCAACGCTGTGCAGCTGCAACGCTGTGCAGGTACAATGCTGTTCAGATGCAATGCTGTGCTGCTGCAATGCTGTGCAGGCTTTGTGTTGTTCAGATGCAATGCTGTGCAGGTGCAATTCTGTTCAGACACAATACTGTTCAGATGCAACGCTGTGCAGGTGCAATTCTGTTCAGCTGCAATGCCCTTTGCAAAGCCCCTTTCTTGCAGAGCCCACCCTGCTGCTGCATGGCGTTGCCTGGTGACCCTGATGCTCGGAGCAGGGATGCACAGCAGACCCTGCAGCTGGGATGCATGGAGCTGCTCATGGAAAGCCACGTCCCACCTGTGTCACCCTGCACGAGGGCCACCTTCCCCAGGGGCGTGCGCTGATCGGAACAGGAGCTGGGAAGTGGCTGCATTTCCACCCCGCTGCTCTCGGTTATCGCAGCAAAAGGGGAGCCAATTACCAGCAGCTGGTGAGAGCCTCAAATTATTATTAATTTCAAACAAAGCATATGCTTTGTGTTAACAATCCTCCGCCGTGTGGCAGAAGGGCCAACGCCATCCAGATGGCTTCGACGTGCTGCGGGAATGAGGAATGTGCAGCTCTGCCACCGCACAGCGCGGGGATGGGGAGAGGGGGGGATGAGCAGCGTGGTGAGGGGTCACAGGTGGCCAAAAAATCCCTGAGCGGGGCAGCTGGCGGCCTGCAGGCACTGCATCATGCAGGGCAGGAATGCTGGCGGTCCTATGGGGATGCTGGCAGCCCTATGGGGTGGGATATTGGTGGTTCTGTGGGGATTTATGCTGGTTACGCAGTAGGGATGCTGGTGGTCCCATAGGAAGGGATGCTGGTGGTCCTATAGGGAGGGATGCTGGGATCCCATGGGGTTTCTGGTGGTGCTATAGGGAGGGATGCTGGGATCCTGTAGGGTTTCTGGTGGTCCCATGGGAAGGGATGCTGGTGGTCCTATAGGGAGGGATGCTGGGATCCCATGGGGTTTCTGGTGGTCCTATAGGAAGAGATGCTGGTGGTCTTATGGGAGGGATGCTGGGATGCTGTAGGGTTTCTGGTGGTCCCATAGGAAGGGATGCTGGTGGTCCTATAGGGAGGGATGCTGGGATCCCATGGGGTTTCTGGTGGTCCTATAGGAAGAGATGCTGGTGGTCCCATGGGAGGGATACTGGGATGCTGTAGGGTTTCTGGTGGTCCCATAGGAAGGGATGCTGGTGGTCCTATAGGGAGGGATGCTGGGATCCTGTAGGGTTTCTGGTGGTCCTATAGGAAGAGATGCTGGTGGTCCTATAGGGAGGGATGCTGGGATCCTGTAGGGTTTCTGGTGGTCCAATAGGAAGAGATGCTGGTGGTCCTATAGGGAGGGATGCTGGGATCCCATGGGGTTTCTGGTGGTCCTATAGGAAGAGATGCTGGTGGTCCCATGGGAGGGATGCTGGGATGCTGTAGGGTTTCTGGTGGTCCCATAGGAAGGGATGCTGGTGGTCCTATAGGGAGGGATGCTGGGATCCTGTAGGGTTTCTGGTGGTCCCATGGGAAGGGATGCTGGTGGTCCTATAGGGAGGGATGCTGGGATCCTGTAGGGTTTCTGGTGGTCCCATA